ACACGCAAAGCCAGAGCAGCCATTTTGGGTAGCTGGTACGGGAACAGGAACATGGGTCTCTGTGGGGTACTACCCTATCCAGCCCCCATGCCATGCAGATCTGCCCTTGATTTCTAGCACAGCTGGGGATGTTGTCTTTTCATATCATTCAAGGGTACAGTGGGTCACAGCACTGTAACAGCAGCTTGCACTTCTGAGGATCAGCTGAGAGACTGTACATGGCAGATTGGCTTCTGATTTTTCTTTTTCCATTCATTTCTGGCCATAAACTTAGCAATTTAGAAGTTGTGGGTTTTGTGTGCACAATACAGACAGGTGGAAAGTCTGCTTAAACAGATCTTATTAAAAACTTTTTCAAGAATGGTGGTGAAGATCAAGTCATGTTTACTGACATCTCTGCAGTGTGACAGTTAAGGTATTCAGGAGGTCGGAGTCTGAACAGCAGCATTAAAATGTATTGCTGTGTACACCAGCAGGCAAACTCACGGGCCAGTGTGACCAAGACCGTTCTCACCAGGCACAGGGATTCAGTCCCTTTCTTCCAAGTTTTATTTCTCCAAATAAAACAGTTCAGCATATAAATCATGGCCTTTCCCTTGACCCAGGGGCGCCTGCAGGAGACCATCTACTCCCCTCAGATCTCACTTCTCAGGCCATCCACCTAGGAGTCAAGGAAGGCCTCTTGACTCCCTTCTCTTTCTTAGCCTACCCACTGCAAGATTACAGCCCCCAAGCCATCTGCCTGAGAGTCACACATAAACAATGTTCTTTCCTATGAGCCAGGGTCTCCAGTAGACACCTGCCTACTTCCTGCAGATCACACAGCCAGCTGAGCAGCTTGTTGGTCTTTTATCTGACCACCTGGGAGACAGCTGATTAGTCACAGGTGAGAACTAAACCAAACTCTCTTAAAAGGCCAATCCACCCTATAATAGGCTGGGATTTGGTAGGTCACTGTGAATTACGATGGCTTCATTATTAATTTCACCTGCTGCCAAGTCATTGCTTGTTTGTTTGCTTTTACTTTTCAGCCCTATTTTGCATTTTGGAAACTACACTATACAAAGGACAGAGGTACCAGAATTGGCTGGAAAAGGACAATTTATTTTTCATTCAAATTTTTAATTTTCTAACCTTCCCATCAAAATGTTTTATTGTTTGCTTGGGGAAAAAACTCCAGAAAAGTGGGGTTTTTTTGTTTTGTTTTGGTTTTTTGGGGGTTTTTTTGTTTGTTTTTTTAATGTTTGACTAAAATGTAACAGCTGAAAGGACAATTAGTGTCTGGCAGGGGTGAGAGACAAGGGGATTAGAAGAGGTGGGTGTGAATAAATAAATATATTCTGGGAGTTGGGAGAAATGGACTATGGTGGCTTTGCAGTCTGTCCTGAATAGCCTCATTCTGGGAAAAGCAGCTGTGGTCCTTCAAAGGCTGCCTTAAGGGAACCAAAAAGGCTGAACAATTGCTGGGGATATGGAGGCTTTGGGTCCCTTGAGCCCAGAGTAATGATCAGGGGATGGACAAGGCAGGGAAAAATCATATGTATGGCATAATCCCGAGTGAAAATGTTTAATCTTAGCTGTGCTGCTCTTGCCTGTAGTGAATGCTTTCAAGAGGCAGAGGAGTTGCAGACAGAGCCCTGTCTTTGGTCCATGCATAAAATGCAAGATTGGTGGCAATGAAGTTTCAACTATTCAGGATTTAATTAGAAATGAGGCCCCTGATCTTCCTTGTTTTATCCAAGCTTGATTGACTGATACTCTTGGGCTGGCTTGGCACAGCTGGTTCCAGCTGCGTATTCAGTACAGTATCAATTTTGCCAGGAGGTGGTGTGTGTACACACACACACACACACACACACCCCTACGTCCAGCAGCTGGCAATTATCAGGATGCAGGCATATCTTCACTTTGCCCTCTTTCTCCTGGCCACTCTCCCCACATTGGTGGCTGTGAGGGAGGCGGCCTAGAAACCACTACAATGGCTCTATACCTCCTCTTCTCTCAGGATTCCCATATGCACTGAAGTAGTGCAAAGCTGCTGCAAGCATTGAAGAATCAAACCAATACCTTATAAAGTAGATGAAAAATACCCCCAAAACCCAACTGAAACCACTGAGGTTGGAGGATGGAAATGTGATATGTATGGGCTGGGTTGCAATTTACTTTTTCTGGTTTCCTGGCCATCCAAAATGTTCCACCTGTCTGTTGCTCCTGAAGCAGAATCTGAGGTCATTGCTTTCCTGTCTATCCTGGGAGACTGCTCTGCTCGCTTACCTCACATCTCTGGGCAAAGCATATGGGTGGTAAGGAAATGATCTCCCGGAGACCTGAGTTTGGAGAGCTGTTTCCCAGAGTAGATGAGACAGTAGGCTATGTTCTACTCTCAAATACACTGCTGTAACTCTGGAGTGACCCTGTCTAGTCAGCAATTGGATTCCAAGGAGTAAGAAGGAAGCTTATTCCATATTTACACTAGTGTAGCAGAGAGCGGAATCTGGTCCATAATGTCCTATAATGCTCTTGCCCAAATCCCACTCCATAGGGATGAGGGGAAAGGAAACCTTTCCCTGACATCTGAGGATTAGCATTATGCTCTGATACGTGAGGATGGTAATACTTATGAACATATCCTGTTTGGTGCAGCTTCCAATACTTTTCTACTAAGTGCTTAATCCTGATCTCACACTTTTACATTAGCTATAACACCATTGGCTTCAATGTGGTTACTAATATTTTGCACCAGTGTGAGATCAGAATCAGATTCATAAGTATCCAATGGTGTCCACATGAATTTCCTGTCAAAGAACCTACTTCTCTCATAGCCTGGAGAGTGTTTAAAATGAAGAAGTGTATCTGCCTTCAAAATCAATAGTAAAACTCCTTTCATGATTCCTTGAATTTTTGGAATAAAGTTACTGCAATGGGAGTCCATATTGCATAAGAAAAGCTCAAGGAAAACTAAAACCAGCACATATGAAAAGTCATTTTAATTATGCTATAAAATGGAATATTTTTTCTTAAAGCAGTGTTTGGATGATGTTGCCTTTTCCAAGGTGTTGACAAAACAGAATACAAACAATATAAGTAAAATAATTAAAAATAAATGGTGGACTGGAATCATATTTTTCGGACATTTATTTTCTGAAGGAGAAACTATTAATAGGCATAGCTCAATTCAATTGCAGCATGTGGTTTTCAGTGTGAGATCCTCTTTACACAATTTTCCAGCCATGTTCAGTCACACACAAGTCATTTTCCCAAGATCTCACAATGATTTAATGTCTCAGATTAAAATCCTTTTAGTTTCACATCTTGCTCTATCTGCTGTTCTACATGGTCTGCTTAATCATATTTAATTGTAATAGTGGATTGCATTTAGATGCACATTTATGGTTATTTTTATTAGAAAAATATCACACTCGCACTGCAGATCTAGATCAAAAAAGTCCTTTCCTCATTTTCATAGTGCTTTACTCTTTGATATAGCAAGTAATAGGCTGCCATCTAGTGGCAGCCAAAATTATTTCAAATTAGTTAAAAAACGTATGTGAAGTTAAATTATGGTCGAAGGCATTTTCTCTTCAATGAAACTGCAACCTCAGCGGTGCTGGTTTGCAGAAGATTAATGCAAATGCATCCCCTGATTTTAACTCAGCATGCCTGCATGATCTGTCCTTCAAAGCCAAAACCTTATCACACGTCAGCTGAAACTGCCAACTTGGTTTTGGGTTGAAGCCATGAGAAGCTGTATTTTGCTTTATATAAACACTAAAAACAAATGTCCTGCCTGCCTGGATGAATTTACAATCTAATGGCCAGATTCTGCTCAGTTACACCAATGTAAATCTGGAGCAACTTCACTGAAGTCAATGGAGTTGCTCCAGATTGACACGTGAGTAAGTCAGAACCGAATCTGGCTGTTCTTTTGGAGGTGTGCTCTGTGTGAGAATAATAAGGCAATGGAAGTGGTCACTCAGTTTTGGTGGTAGCACAGCTGGATGTCTCGATTATGTTTGGGGGGTTTTCACCCCCAGTTGTGTCCGTCATGAATAGACTCACTATAGTTTTGTTTGGTTTCCTCCAAGAATAAGAAACTGCCAAGGTTTACCAAGCTGAAAGCCATAACTCAGACCAGTCTTGCTCAAAGCTTGGCCTAGATTTGCAATGTTTTCTGGGGTCCTGGCCTGAGGTTAAAAATTGCACTGAAATCTGAAACAGGTTTTGTAACTAAATGTTTGTACCATACTAGGTTTTCCCATGTGAATTAATCACAGGACATCAAGGTGGGCGGGCATTATAATGTATTTATAACTTCACACGTCATTGGCAATTCCTTATGCTGAAGGCATGCCATGAGCACACATTGCAAATACTCTGTAGATTGTGTGTGTGTGTGTGCGTGTGTGTGTATTATTTTTTCCTTAAAGTTATATAATCTATAAAATTGTAGGATAGTGTACTTCAGGGGTTGGGGGGGTGATAAACAGTAAATGAGTTAGACTAGTTACCAACTGAAATACAAATGGAAGACCTGATTCTCTGTTACCCTGCACCTTATAGTCGCTTACATCAGTGCAAAGTGAGTGTTATATTGGTGCAAAACAACACCATTCTCATTCACAGCTGCATTGCACACACTTTGCACTACTATATGACTAAACAAGGTGCAGAGCAGCAAAGATTCTGGCCCTATATTTCCAGAAAAAAAGTGTGTTCAGCAAAATTCCATCGCTTGACACCATACAAAATGCCGCAGATCTGCTCTCCTTTCAACTTGCTCTCTCCCCCTGGATCATATTTCCTTTATAATATCTTTGTTTTCTAACATTTGAAACAATTGCAATGAACTTGTGGCCTTGTTGCTAGGTTTCAAGTTTAATTTTATGCAGCCAACTGAGGCACTATTTTCATTTCTGAATTCTCAATCAAGCCCTGAGGCAAAATGATCCTGTTTCTTAGCAACCCAGATGGGCAGAGCCAGATTATACATTTGAGCTCTTTTGTACAACAAAAGAATAAATAGCTCCCAGAATAAACATGTGCTGTGAGTTCATCTCTTTGCTCAGCGTCCCCTAGCACTGTAGAGAAGAGAAGCCCGGCTGTGTGATACAACACGTGAAGCTGGGCAGAGAAACCTGACTTTACAGAGTGGTGAGTGGTGTCTCTTAACCTCTTCTGTTAAATGCTTCTCTTTGGGGCTGCTTTTGTGGTTGTCACCACATGTATGAATCTGTGTGCACCCGGCGATTAAGTGTGTCTGTTTCTAAGCTACTAAAACATGCACCGTAAATCAAGAGTGCAGACTCTACAGAGCCGATAGGGAAAGCGTGATGACTGTTTCTTTGGTGAAGTTTATGGATAATCCCAACCTCTTCCTTTTGCCCAATTAAAGCTGAAAAACAGGACCTAGAAACACTCTGTGGCTGTAATACACAAGGAGACAGTTCTAAGTAAATGAATATTCTAGGGAGAATTTTGTTAAGTATTAAAAACAAGTGAAATATACATGATGGTTGCTCACCAGGAGGCAAATTATCTATTCTCCTCCTTGTTTCTCTTCCCATGGGGCCTGCCTGCCTGCAGTTCTATTGGGCAGGACTCTGGGAGCCCACCAGAGGGGTTGCAAACCTCCTGACTACCATAAGGCCTTGCTGTGAGGGGACAAGGAAGGCTGGTTGAGGAACAGGGTCAGTAGAGCCATGACAATCTGCATCCTCTTTCTAGATGGTAATGGTAGAATTATCAATAATAATGCAGAAAGGGCAGAAGGGTTCTATAAATATTTCTATTCTGTGTTCGGAAAACAGCCAGATGATGTAATCATCATATGAGGATGCTCTTGCTGTTCCAATAATAACTCATGAGTATCCTAAACAGCATTTAGACATTTTTAAATTAGCAGGTGTGGATAAATTGCATTCAAGTGTTTTAAAAGAGCTGACTGAAGAGCTTGCTGAACCATCAATGCAGATTTTTTCAATAGGTCTTGGAGCCCTGGGGAAGTTCCAGTAGACTGGAAGAAAGCTAATGTTGTGCCAGTATTTAAAAAGGGTAGAATGAGATGACCTGATAAATAATAGGCCTGTCGGTCCTACATTGATAATGGGCAAGATAATGGAGCAGCTGAAATGAGACTTCTTTAATCAAGAATTAAAGGAGGGAAATATGATTAATGCCAATCAACATTGGTTTGTGGAAAATAGATCCTGTCAAACTAATTTGATATTTTTGAAGAGATTATAAGTTTGATAAAGGCAATAGTGATATCCAATATTTAGACTTCTGTAAGGCATTTGACAAAGTACCACATGATATTTAAATTTAAAAAACTAGAATTATGCAAAACTAATATGGCACACATTAAATGGATTAAACACTGGCTAACTGATAGGTCTCATAATGTAATTGTAAATGGGCAACTATCATCAAGTGGGTGTGTTTCTATTGGGGTCTTACATGGATTGGTTCTTGGCCCTATGCTATTCAACATCGTTAATGACCTGAAGAAAACATAAAATCATCAGTGATAGTTTGCAGAGATCACAAAGATTGGAGGAGTGGTAAATGAAGAGGACAGGTCACTGATGCAAAGTGATCTGGATTGCTTCGTAAACTGACCGCAAGCAAACAATATGCATTTTTAATATGGTTAAATGTAAATGTATACAACTAGGAACAAAGAATCTAGGCCATACTTACAAGATAGGGGTTTCTATCCTGGGAAGCAGTGACTCTGAAAAACATTTTGGGGGGACGTAGTGGATAATCAGCTGAACATGAGCTCCCAGTGTGATACTATGCCCAAAAGAGCTAATGTGATCATAGGGGAATCTTGAGTAGGAGTAGAGTGGTTATTTTTACCTCTGTGTTTGGCAGTAGTGTGACCTCTGCTGGAATGCTGTATCCATTCTGGTGCTCACAATTCAAGGATGTTGATCAGTTGGAAAGGATTCAAAGAAGAGCCACAAGAATGATTAAAGGATTATAAAACATGCCTTAAAGCAATGTTTCTCAACCTTATTGAGACCAGGGACTGGCTTGCTGCCTTCCTAAACTATATCAGGAAGATCTCAGGGACTGGTGCTGGTCCACGGATTAGTCATTGAGAAACACTGCCTTAAAGTGATAAACTCAAGGAGCTTGATTTATTTACCTTAACAAAGAGAAGGTTAAGGTTTGATCTGATTATAAGTATCTACATGGGGACAAATATTTGATAATGAGCTCTTCAGTGTGGCAGACTAAGGTATAATAAAGTCCAAATGGCTGGAAGTTTGAAGCTAGAGAAATTGAGACTGGAAATAAGGTGTGAACTTTTAACAGGGAGGATAACTAACCATTGAAACAACTTAGCAAGGAACATAGTGGATTCTTCATCAGTGACAAAAAAAATCCAATCTTGATTTCAGAAATGCTCTCATTCAAAATAATTATTTTGGGGAAATTCTATGGCTTGTGTTATACAGGAAGTCAGACTAGATGATCACAATGGTCCCTTCTGGCCTTTAAATGTATAAATCTCTTTCCATTTGCCCTGCAGAGTGGAGGAAGCAAAAGTTGCAAGGGCTGTTGCAGGCCTGAAGAAGCAGCAATGCTGCTGGCTCGTGGCCTGATGCTAAGATTCTTCAGCCCAAGCCTCCAGTAATCTCCCAAGCCCAGACTGGGTACCTAGGTTGTGCACTTGGGTCAGGAGTCGCTTCATGATGAGTGTTTGATATTCTGAGGATAATTTGCTTGTGGTCAGGACATAAATCTGAGACCCAATCCTGCATTGAAATGAATATGAACCTGTCCACTGGAACCTGCAATGAGACCACTCCAGATGTTGGAGTCTAGGAATTTCTCTTACCCCACTTCCTAATGCTCTGGACATTTATGTTAAGATGAAACCTTAATTGCTTGGGAATTCATCTGGCCCCGCTACTTATCCTTCACTTGAAGTTGTAATTGGGCACTGTCTACATTAAGGAAATCTACGTTGGAGATTTACACTGGTGAAAACCTCCTAATGCATAGGGCTGCACTAGCGCAGAGCATGACTTTTGCTGGTACAATTTTGCTCTTATAGGTTATCCACTGAAGCCACATCAGCATAAATCAAAACTGGCACAGCATATTTATGAATTTCCTTAATGCAGATAGGGTCCTGAGAATGGGCTCAAGTCACTCTGAATTGACTTTGCAGATGTTCAGTTCTGGAGTTCAAATCTAAATGCATACTACCTGTAAAATTCTGACCTGGCTTCAGATGTCAAATGGCCTCCAAAGATTTTGGGATGGGGGTTCAGCTCTGGTGTTTTCACTTGGGCCATTCTCTACTCATAATCCTCTGTGATCTCATACAGATATGTCCACAGTAACTGACTGTGATGTCATAGAAGATTATAACTTCAAAGAGATAAATAATAAGTAGCAAGAGCAGATGAATAGCTAAGCAGTAAGGTTCCAGTTTTTATGTAGGCTTCCTTAGTAATATGAAAGAAGGGGGAGAGGGGGAAATCTTAACATTATGATTTAATGGTATCCTAATATGTTAGCCAAGTCCCTGATGCAATGCCATTAAAATCAAATGCAGTTTTACAAAACTTTGCCTGAGACTCCAGGAATTCATTAAAAACTACTTTTAAAAATACAATGTAAAAAGAAAGGGAAATTAGCTATACAACTGTCTCTGAGATCAATGGGAATTCCTCTGTGGATTGAACCAAGCAGTCTGTAACTAGGGAGACTGGGATAAATTCACTATTGCCCGTCAACCGATTAATGTCGCTTCAGTGGTGTAAGGGGTCTATAAGAGGATCAGTTACACACTAGCTATCCTTGGTTGATGCAATGGTTTCTAGATGGACATTGCAGCTGGGTATAAATCGGAGCAGTGCAGTGTGGGCAGATCCAAGAATGTGGAGAATCACAAAGATGGCACAAAAGCCGCCTGTATCCTGCCCCCAGTTCTGTTCCTGCACCAAGCAGGATGGAGAATGTGGCCATTGGCTTGATTCTTCTCAGCCTTGCACTTAATGTAGTCATTTATACTTGATCAAAGTGGGTGTAAAACTCCACCAACTCTGCCTACAGGTCCTAGCTGACATCAAGACTCCATTGTGCTGGGTGATGTACGCGCACATACCAAGAGACAGAGTCTGCCCTGAAGAACCTACAATCCAAGGGCTTGTCTAAATGAACAGGTAATGCATGGCAAGCTGAGCTATAAATCTACAGTGCACTGCCATGCCACGCAATAACTGTCTGAGTGGACATTGCTGCTAAGTACTAAAAGTTCCTTCATGTGCTTCAATCTGCTTTGAAACAGGAGTAGGTCAATATGCCCTCGGGTCCCCATGGAGAGTTAGTATGTGCAGGGCGCCGAGAGAGGGTTCGGGCCCCGGTGAAAAAAATTTTCAGGCCCCCCAGCAAGGGCAGACCGGCTAAACAGGGCCGACGAGGGTGAGGGAAGCCATACCCCGGGCCCCCTTCCAGACTGCCGAGCACCGGTAATTTGTACCAGCTTCCCCCCTCTCGTCGGCCCTGAGTATGTGGCAAGACTAGTATAGGGTTGCCAACTTTCTAATCACAGAAAACGGAACACCTTGCCCTGCCCCTTCCCTGAGGCCCTGCCCCTTTTCCTAGGCCCCACCCCTGTTCTCTCCATCTCCCCTCCCTCCGTCGCTCACTCTCCCCCTCCCACCCTCACTTGCTCATTTTCACCGGGCTGGGACAGGGGGTTGGGGTACAGGAGGGGGTGAAGGTTCTGGCTGGGGATGCAGGCTCTGGGGTGGGCCTGAGGATGAGGTGTTTGGGGTTCAGAAGGGGCTCTGCACTGCGGAGTGGGGCCGAAGGGTTCATAGTGTGGGAAGGGGCTCCGATCATAGGCAGGGCATGGGGTGTGGGAGGGGGCATGGGCTCTGGGCTGGGGGGTGCAGGCTCCGGGCTGGATCCGGAAATGAGGGGTTCAGGGTGCCGGAGGGGGCTCTGGGCTGGAGGTTGGGGTGTGGAAGGAGTTGAGGAGGTGAGGGCTGGGGGTGCAGGAGGGGGCTCCGGGCTGGGGGCTAGGGCCAAGGGTTTTGGAGTGTGGGAGGGGGCTCCTGGCTGGAGCAGGTGGTAGGGGTGTGGAAGGGGGTGAGCGCTCTGGGGTGGGGCTGGGGATGAAGGGCTTGGGGTGTAGGAAGGGGCTCTGGGCTGGGGTTGAGGGGTTCAGAGGGAGGGGGTGCAAGCTCTGACTGGGGGTGCAGGCTCTGGGGTGGTGCCGGGGATGAGGGGTTTGGAGTGCAGGAGGGGGCTCAGGGCTGGGGCAGCGGCTTGTGATGCAGCAGGGGTCAGGTGTGCAGGCTCAGGGTAGCGCTTACCTCAGGCTGCTCCCAGAAGCAGCTTGCATGTCCCTCTGGCTTGTAGGCCAATTGCTTCCTAGCCCATGGTTGCTGCAGAGCCGGCGCTCGGGGCAGGGGAAGTGCATGGAGCCCCCGTGGCCGCCCCTACACCTAGGAGCCGGACATGCCGGCAGCTTCCTGGGCGCCCACAAAGCTGGGCAGGGAGCCTGCCAGCCTCACTGTGCTGCCAACCGGACTTTTAACGCCTGATCAGCAGTGCTGATGGAGCCACCAGGGTTCCTTTTCGACCTGGGTGTGCCAATCAAAAACTGGACACTTGGCAACACTAGGCTACCGTGCTGTGGACTTACATCCCAGCTTGCCACATGCTGTTTGTCTAGACAAGTCCTAAATAGACCAGAAAAACAAATGGTGGGAGAAGGGCAGCACTACTATCTCCATTCTAAAGATGGGGAACTGAGGCACAGAAAGATCAAAATCCTGATCTTACAAGCTGACATGTACAAACAGATCCCTGTGCTCATACCTAAAGCTACGATTATGTCACAGAGGTCACAGAAGTCACGGAATCCATGACTTCCAGAGACCTCTGTGACATTTTCCACTTCAGTCCCGGGGCGGCAGGGCTGGAGCTGTTAGCCAGCAGTGGTCCCAGGGCTCCCAGTCGCCGCAGGCAGTGGGGAGACCCTGGAGCTCCCATCTTCCGCAGGGGGTCGGGGTTCACAGCTCTGAGCCGCCAATGGCACTGGTAGGACTTCAGAGTGCTCAGCTGTCCTCTTCAGCTCCCAGCCACCGCCCTAGAACTCCCAGCCGCCCCCTGGACTCGATCCTACCCATTTTGTCATGGATATTTTTAGCAAAAGTCAGGTACAGGCTTCTGTGATTTTTTGTTTGTTTGTTTATTGTCTGTGACTTGTCTGTGACGTTTACTAAAAATAACCATGACAAAATCTTAACCTTAGTCATATCCAGTTCACTTTAATGGGGCTGTAAGTGGGCTTAAGGGTTCACCTGTTCAGATCAGCTTACAGAATTGAGGCCTATGGGACTCATCCAGGGCAATGCAGATATACGGTGATTGAGTGAGGTATAGGAACCTATGTAGAATGGAATAGAATCTCTGGTGGAGCAAGAAGTTGAACCCAGCTCCAGAGTCCCAGTTTGGTGCCATAACTACAAAATCATCCTTCCCCTGTTCCCAGCTATAACCACCCAATGATATTATTAATCTAAATACTGATATTGAATGAAATGTAATGAAGTACAAAGTTTTACAGACATTCATTTATCTTAACTACAATAATACTGTGCAGCACTGGATATGTAGTCAGTGCTAAACCCATGCAAAACAATCATTAATCAGATGCATTTTTTTTCTAGGGGTTAAAATACCTGTGAGGAAAAATCCCATAATGCTCACCACTAGCTACAAAGGCAGACAGCCCACCTTCTCTTTTGAAAGACAAATCAAATTTTCTGCATGCCTGGATTTGGCCTTTGCACAGAATCAAAGTTTTGTGCAGCAGCTCCGAGCCACCCCGCAGAGAGATATATGGCAAAAGCAGCCTCCTGATTTTAGCTACAAATTCTATAAATCTTCTAGGCCTTCACGAAAACCACTAGAAAAGGAAAAGGAAGATTTGAAGAAGGCCAATAGCACTGAGACTAAGCAACAGCTGCCAAAGATAAAGACCAGCCAGTTCCACACTGCTTCGGAAAGGAAGAAAGAGTTGCCCAAGATTGTCACAAGGTTTCCACACGTGGGCTCATATGAAGTGGATATAATGTTTGTGGAGAATGGAAAATATAAGACTGGCATATACCAAGATCCCAAACCACATGATTTTAGGCAGGTAAGGTATGTAAGAGTATGCCATAGTGGTACGTCTACACAGGACTTTGGAGTGAGTGGGAACAAGCCTCCCAGCCAAGGTCAACAGACTTGGCCTGGTGGGGTTCAAGTTACTGCTCATGTATAGTGTGCGCTTTGAAGTTGCAGCTTGGGATCTGAAGCCCACCCCTCTCCCTAGGTGTCAGAGCCTGAGTCGCAACTTCAAAGCACCGTCTACACACTTATTTTTAGAGTGCTAGCACATAGGAACATAAGAAATGGCTATGCTGGGTCAGACCAAAGGCCCATCTAGCTCAGTATCTTGTCTTCCGATAGTGGCCAATGCAGTCAACCCAGGCTGGGAGGCTTGCTCCAAAATGCTGTGTAGACATACCCCTAGACTATTTGAAGCAATTTCTCTCTCATTAGCCATAAAATCCATGATAATTAACTTTTTAGGCCACTAGATAGACAAGATGGGTGAGGTAATATCTTTTATTGGACCAACCTCTGTTGGTGAGAGAGACAAGGTGAAGAAGAGTTGTGTGTAAGTTTGTGTCTCTCTCACTAGCAAAAGTTGGTCCAATAAAAGATATTACCTCACCAACCTTCTCTCTCTAATATCCTTGGACCGACATGGCTACACCACTCACCACATAGGCCCACTAGATGTCACTCTTGCAACAAAAACTTTGACCAAACAAGGAAGTACAGTAGTTAACATCTAACTTTGCTGCACCCAGTTGGATACAAGCTATAATTAAGAAAAAAATAGTCTCTGAAAAGCTTTGTTGGAAGCACAGGGGTTCCCTGATGAATCTAGCTTTTTGGAGCTCTCCATGAATTTTGCATAAGAGATTAAAATAAAAAAATATGAATATGACTAGTTCATGACTAATTCAGTTCCCCTTACCTTATGATTTTTCCTCCTTACTGGCTGCAATGTCTGGTCTCCAACAGCAGTGTCTGAATTGCCCAACTAACTGGAGGGGAAAGCTTATTCTCACATTTATTATTTGTATTTATTATTTATTTGCAATATAGTAGAATGGGGTGAAAATTTTCAACCAAAACTCTCCCTTCCCCCCTCCCTCCGACGCCCCCCCCCCCAAAAAAGCCCGCAGATTCAGGTCTACTGAAACATTTTGTGAATTCATGTCAATTTTGGCCAATTGCTTTGGTCAAAACAAAAAAGAAAAGAATTTGGAAATGTAGAAATGAATCATTTCAGTTGTTCAGGCTAGATTCACCTAGAGGTTGAAATGTCAATCACAAACCAGACATTGTGGTGGTGCGGATGACCTAAGGTCTATTCAAGTATTTTATACCAAGTGGAATGGCTTCAACAGGTGAGATTAAGGCCTTGTCTACACTACAAAGTTTTGTCAGATAGCTACGTCAGCTAGGAGTGTGGAAAAAATCAACCAGGAAAAATAGAAGATTTCTAAGGTGAAAACAGCAACTTCCTCCTCCTCCCTCCAAAACAAACTTTTAAACCTTTGTTATAATTAACAAAGAAACCAAAAAAAGCAGCATAGACCCCTATTGTTTTCTTTGATAGGTCACATTTATCAGGAAAACAATACATAAGTTTTCTCCACTTTCTTTCAGTCACAGCTATAACCCAGGGCCAAATTCCTTTGCCAAATTGCTTTCATGGGAATTTATCTCCCTATTCTTTGTGTTTATTCAGATTAACTGAAAGCTGATTCTCAGGCCCACGTCTACACTAGGTGTATTTAAGTAATGACCAATAACTGACGCCTCAAATGTTCTGTATCGTTTATTTTTTAAATAGTCTCTACTGCCAGCAAAGTGCTCCTAGGGTAGACACAACTATATCGGCAAAGCTACAGTTTGTGCCAGCATACTTAAAGCACTGCCCATGAGCGAAACAAGCTAGACTGGTGAAAACACAGCTTTGCCAGTATAGCTGCATCTACAGTGGGGGCTTTGACAGTCACGGAGCTCCCCTGACCAACACAGTTGTGCTGGCAGAAGCCTGTAGTGTAGACCTGGCCTCAGTCCCTTCTTGTTGGCAAAGGAACATTGTCTAACTGAATGCTGTCTCAAGGGAAATCACCTTGTGCTTCAGCACCTTCATTCTACAGGAATCCTAGTGAAAAACTGATTTCCATTAACTTTTTTCCTTCAACTAAATACTTCAGAGAGGAAGGCTTTTTCCTCACATCTCTGCCTCTGCCACTGACAGACAGAAAACATATGCACCCGGCCACCCTGATTCCAACCTTGCACTGAGAGTCAGCTCCTGCTAAGAGGTAAGTATCCTCAGCACCCTTTGGCATCAGGATCAGGATCAGGCCCAGGGGGAGTGATGATTCCCCACTCTAACAGTCTGAGGAATGCAGAACTAAGCGTCTAAGGGTATGTTTCAGTGCTTAATTTGTGCCAGTAAGCTTGCCAGGGCTGAGTCCCAGCCCCTCTAGCACTTGGCAGTTCATAGCCCCGGCACCTCGGGGCTTGCTGCATCTGTTATGAATGTAAAAAAAATTGCTTGAGCCCCGGCACCTCTTTCATTACAAAGTAAGAACTGGTATGTTTACACAGCGGGTGTGGGGAGGGGTGATTGCTAGCTCAGGTAGACGTACACATGCTAATCCCACTCAAGTTAGTGGGTTCAAAATTTTATAGTGTGGCTGTGGCGGCATGGGCAGTGGCTCAGGCTAGCCACCTGAGTCTGTGCCCAGGGGTTTGCGGGGAATTATACTCAGGCAGCCACTGCCTGTGTTGTCATGGCCATGCTGCTATTTTTAGTGCACTAACGGGAGCAGAGCTAGTGCATGTCCGTGTATCCATGCTGGGAATCGCTCTCCCAGCTGCTGTGTAGACATACCCCAATTGGCTAAACTTTATCATACCACCACAGTTGCAGCCAACTGGCAAACAAACTGCACAAGTCTAGTAAGTCCTAGAATATTTTTCTGGATAGTGATGCAAGTTTGAGAGATACGAAGGGCTTGTCTGCCTAGGGAATTTTACAGGCACAATTATACTGACATAATTATACCAGTAAAAATCTCCATGAAGACAAGCCCTTACAATCTCAGTCCCAGGTTCTCCCCTGGGTCAGGGCTGCTTTGTGCATTGCCATCAGGGCAAAGCTGCCTTTAAGCCATGGCAGAATCAGACCAGCATAAACTGGTGAAGAGCTGTTTTAGTGGTTTAAAGCCACATTTGCACCCTGTTCTGCTGTGTTTTCCTTGGATCAGGATCAGGATGGTTAGGCCTTGTGCACTGATGTAGCTGCACGAGTTTGGTAATGAGGTAAGCAACATTAGTGCAAGTCACTTTTTTACACCAGTGCAGTGCATCTACATTAAAAATTTGCAGGGATGTAGTTATATTACCTCCAGTGTTGACAGGTTCTGAGACAAAAGAACAAGGTACAAAATTCAGAGGTGAGGTAAATGTTGATGCGGATTATATGATAGTAAGTGGATGTAAATGGCTTTCATTTGGTGCCTTTTTTACACACTAAAAGCCCAGTTAATCAGAAATCAGTGGGAGTTGTACCCTGTAACTGAAGGCAGAATTGGGCCCCGTAGGATTAGAAAGCAGGTGCCGCTAATAGAGTTAACGTCATACTCCTATTAGTAGCTCTTTCTGCTGTCCTCCATTCTGACCCACTGGTGTGTATATTACACTACATTCCATCAGTTCATAGTTTCACATCTGCTTTCATCAAATTACCAGCCTGTCGTTTACACCGCCATTTAGGTGATCTCTGAATTTGGCCCTGGGACTATTTCTGCTGCACAAGCCCTCACCATTTCAGTTTTCACATGTCCAGTTAACCAAGGCATAATGTCCCCATAACTTATACAGATCATTAACCCAGACACCACTAAACCTTGTGGTTACCAATTTTCTTCCAAAATACTGGATCACTCATTTGTAATCTGACCAGGATGTCATTGCCTAGACATGGGTATGTTTATATCCATTACAGCTTGTGGAGGTCTGAGAAACTTGTGAATTTGGTTTGTGTTTCTATCTAAGGCCCTGGTGTACCCTACAAAGATAGGTCGATGTAAGTCACCCTGTATCAACCTACTTGTGCACTCAAATTTGTCTCTGGACGACATAAATATCCCATTACAGCGATGTTGTAAAATCATGTCCCTGAATGGCATAGAGACGTGGTCAACCTACTGAAGTCAATGCAGTGCCAGGATACAAACTGTGGGATGTGTCTACCCTAACAGTCCTTCAGCAGCTGTCCCACAATGCCCCATTCCCTGTGACAGTGATTACTCTGACCATAATTATAAACTCCACTGCCCAGGGGTCACTGAGATAAGAAGCTACCCTCCCCTCCTTTAAAGCCGTGTGTGTGTGTGTGTGTGTGTTTAAATGTCTTTTCCTGATTGCTCCCCTTGGCAAGCACACCTAGGAACTCATTCTTGTTGTGTGCAACTGCCCAGTCAACCATGCCAGCGATCCAACTGGAAGCAGGGCTTCAACAAGGAAATGTTCTTATTCCCTTTCTAGCATTGCTTTCCACGGATCTCCAAAATTAGGTGAAAGAGCTCACCCTAATGAAAGTCTCTTTTCCCTGCAGACTTCTAAGTCCACTTTATTTGGGCCAAATCTTGTCCTATGCACATGAGGACTCTGTTTGGAGAAAGGTTATTAATTCAGACAAAAGCTGCTAACCATCAGCTATCTTCATGCCCTCTTGTTGCAAATTCCAGGACATTTTGTTTGTTGATTTTAAATCTAGTCTATTTGGAACCCAGAGTCCTTTTTACTAAATACATCCTTTCGAATAAAGCATCTCTTTGAAGCTCCTTGGCTGCTTTGTTCGAGCATTGTTTCTAGCAAGTCTTAGTTCTCCAGCAACAGGATTCCCTTAAACATGCTCACTGGAGTACAGATTACAGCAGCGTCGGAAACAGTTTCCCATTCTTTGAAAATTTGAAAATTGACAAAACAGAGATGTTTCAAAATTTGCCATGATCAGAAACCCCATCTTGGACCTGAGAAAGTTGCGTTGAAATTAATACATTTCTGCAAAAAGTTTTGGGTTTCAATGAACCAGCGTTCTTTGATTGAAAAAAACCATTTTGTTTGAAAAATCCCTGACCAGCTCTAGTACAAGATGTCTATTCATGATGCTCCTTAGGTCAACTAAATGGGGTTGATGGAGGATGGTCCTAAGTACTCCCTCTGTACAGAGAGCTCAACGTATTGACTCCAAGACCTCCTCATCCTTAGCTGTTTTAGGACCTGGACTCCCTTCTGTGGAAAAATGCTGCGCGGCTATTATTAATTATACTGTGGTAGTGCTTAGGAGCCCCACCCATGGACCGGGATCCCACTGTGCTAGATGCTGTATGAACAGAATATAAAGATGGTTCCTACCTCAGAGAGTTTATCTCTGGGCAAATAAGCTAATGACCAGATGTTTAGCTGGTGTAGAGCCATTGAAGTCAATGGCACTATACCAATTTAGCCAGCTGGAGATCTAACCCTAAATCTTTTGTTTTATGAATTGAAAAGCCATTAAAGCTATTTTGATGTACTGGTATATCTTGCCCTTTATCTAATTTCAGCACATAAGGACTTCTCTGACTCTTGGTTTTAGTATGATGACATGTCTGACATTGCAATGTTCCCTTGTCTTGTGCAGTATGAAACTAATATACCAGACTTTGTGACAAGTTACTCCAGAGACCCTTTCAATTTAAAGTTCAAATCTCAACATTTAAATGCAAGTAAGTCTTTGTTGGCATGCAAACTCATTGTACTGTAGAAGTTAGCTATTGATGTGGTAACTTCAGAGGGTAGGAATATGGCTGTGCAGTAAATGACCTTAGGGGAGGTTAAGTAGGGTCAAATGAAGCATAAGGCACTGAATGCCAATATGTTTGGACAATTAGTATACAAATTAAAGTTTATTCCCCTAATTAACATATGGGACCTGTCGCACAGACCTGACTCATGCACATCATCTCATTGTCTCAGAATACCTCATGAGGGCAGGGTCAGGTCCTCATCCTGGGTTTGGGAGTAGCATTCATGCATGAAAGTAATAGCAGATGGATAAATTGCTTCTAGACATATATTTACTGTAGATAGAGGTTCCTAAATCAGCCAGATTTCACTGTTAGAGCCAGATTGTGCCTGACCCATGTGAAAGTGTGTGGCGGGGGAGAGGGCACAAGAGATCTTTGAATCACTTGCATGGTCTGCATAATAGACAGGCACAACTGCAGTCTCTGCCCTTGGGGGAGCACAGGGATTGATCCTTCTTCTCCACCCTGCAGGGGCATCCACAACCCCCGAGTGCAGTGAGGAAGCAGGGCCAGGCTTCTCTGCTCCTCCGTACCAGCCCTCTGAATGAGGCCTGCCCAGAAGGAGTGCAGGCTGACTCCCTGGAGATGGATAGCTGCAGGTGCCTGCATGTGGGGAAGTTCAGGGAGGAATTCCCCAGGGGCACTGCAGCTCCACGCGCTTCTAATGCAGAGCCATAATTACATGGCACAGCTGAGGCTTAGAATTTGCCATCTGTGGATTTGAACTCAATGTATGTGCTCTTCCTTATGCAGATTCTGCCCAGAGTTAGCTTGTGCTATCTTATATTAAGCAGATGGAACATGGGAAGAGTTCTCTTACTGTAATTGCCATAGCTCTCAAGTCACATGTTTCTTGACATCAATTATACAATAGTTATGGCCACCATACATCTATACCCTGTACAGTAAAACATTAATATCATCAAACATTTACAGCAATGGGACAGGCAGGGAGTTCACAAGGGTTATGCATTTATGCATTTCATATACTCCTCTTTCTGGGACGCTCTCCCAAACTTCCATTGGCTTACGGCTCTCCAAACCCCGATGATCCTAGAGCTCCTGGTGATAGTGATGTAAGATATAACTCCAGAGCACAGACTGCCTGTTTTATAACTGCTAGCATGTTGTTTACTTAACTTCTTCAGTTCATGGACTTCAGCCATTGAAAGACAAGCAAAAGGACACCAAGGGGAGATTCATTACTTACAAGCCTTGTGAATGCAAATGGGAATCCAGGCTAATTCTGCCAAAGAACCCTTGGCCACCGAAGTCTGCTTCATTTACGGTTAGTTGAACCTTGAGCCAAGCTCCCTGCCTCTCTGTTGGACTCCAGTGGACTTCAGATCAGGCCCTTAGGTACTTTGTAGGTAGTTTTGATGCAGCTAATGAGGGCACCAGGCTGCTGGAAAGTTTAGGAGACTCAGTAGATGGATTGTCGGGTTCTTCCCCATCCCTGGATGTAGTTTGTACTTGGTGGGGGGGTTAGGTGTGGGACTCCCACTGATCATGGTGGGAATTGGGAGGATAATTATCTTGGGGTTGCTTTGAAAATTAAGCCCTTAATGTTAAATTATACAATACAGCACATGACAATGACACATACCCTTATATCTTCAAACTGCTAGGGGGACCATGTGGAAGGAAGTTCATTACTGGGGTGAGGGGGGTGTCATATTCCCTGTGCAAGACATTGACTATTTCCGAAGGTGTGGGGGAGGGAATGATATTGGGAAGGCTTAGAAACATAAACCAAGCACTTAAAGCTAAAATGTCTCTAAACATAAAAGGATCTCTGCTCCCAGTGCATGCACTCAACTCCCATTAATGTTAATGGAGATTGTATTGAACACAGATATTGTATGGGTAGCAGATGCCCCGAGTTATGAAGTTGTCCTCTTGTGTAATGATGAGAGACATTAGATCATCTGTACCAAATCTATTTGCAGCAATAGTTTTGCTATTTAAAAGTAATACTTGTAATATTTGCACAAGCAAATAAGGTGATTTCACATACAAATGTGCCTAAATAGACATTTGGATGCCCTATTCCCTGATTCAGATGGGTAAGCATTTCTGAGATTCTGGTTCTTCAATCCTCCCATCAAAGACCATAGGAGCATTCTCATGCCCTGTGTGTCATTTAATTGCTCTAATTAATCTTTATTATTCTATTCCTAGAGACACAGAAGGCGACGTGGTGCCCACACGGCGTTCCTAGATCGTGTGGATGAAAAGCTATGTACAATATGGCAGGAGGAAGTAGGTGCTGATGTTGTACTGTTCCCTATGGAGCAAACCCAGTGTCTCCTTAGGGCCACATGATGGTTGCTTGTGCAGGGGGTAGCCAGGATACGATTACACCTTTACCCCGATATAACGTGACCCAATATAACACGAATTTGGATATAACGCGGTAAAGCAGCGCTCTGGGGGTGGGGGGGGAGAACAGGGCTGCGCACTCCGGTGGGTCAAAACAAGTTTGATATAACGCAGTTTCACCTATAATGTGGTACGATTTTTTGGCTCCCGAGGACAGTGTTATATCAGGGTAGAGGTGTATTTGTTTCTCATGAACTCAAGGAGGGAGGGAGTGCTGGTGCTGCCAGAAGCACTCCATACCTCAGCAGGGGGCATGGCTGAGTAGAGTGAAGGGAGGTTAAACACAACAAATACAACCACCTCCTGGGGGATGGAGTGGAGAGAGCTGCAGACATCCTCAGGTGTTCGCTTAGAATGTGGGATGTGCTCAGACCTGGGCTGATACCTATAGTTACAATCTCACCCCTCTGCACACTGGCGGAGAAAGAGAACAAGGGCCACTGATGGCTGAGCTCCCTAAAATGCCCTGAGAGAATTTGAAGTGCCGTGGGAGATATTATGCCTGTTGCTGTCCTATACAGACATGATGTCTCCATCCATTAACATGCAGGCAGTGCACCTCCTCCCCTCTTGCAGTGGTTCTCAGATCCATAACTGCGCGCTTAAAAAGCAGAGCTGGGAGACCTGCTGATTAAAGCAGGAGACATATGATGAGTCATTCATTTTCAGATGCAGAGTCACCTTCTGCCAAATTACATTCTTCTATTTCTAGCCAGAATATGATTCAGAAGAGCTGCTCTTGGTGACTAGAGCACTGCTGACATGAACTTTGCTTACATACGTGCATGCCAAACTGACAGTGGGAATCAAATCCAAAACCAAGGACATCTTTTATATCCTAAAACACTGCCAGGCACTTCTTTAAATAGAGGGCACCTTTCCAGGGAAAGTTTAGTATTTTTATCTGATGTTGGTTTTGTGATTAACTCAATTAAAATTCTCCTTTACTCTGTATTTGGGGTGGAAATTCACCCCAATGCTGAGGGCCTGCAAAGCCCACATCCCATTTATGCCCTTAACATGGGTCTTACATAGTGCATAAATCCTTATCCTATCCTGCTGGATAGAAGTGAATTTCACCCTGGTGTACTAGCGTCCCCATATTAGCCCTTGCAATCTTCTAAAACCAGAGCCACTCTAACCTAGTGCTGTGGTGAATAAAGTGTCAGAAATGCTGGTAGGAACTATCCTGCTAATGCTGTTCACTGCAGTCTCAGTGCTTCAGTGATTTTCCGAAGTGCCAAAATGGCAGCCCGGGAGTTGTGCTTAACTCCACGTACACTTTTTTGTCCTGATCAGTTAGGGCAGCAACGCAGCACTTAAAAAAAAAAAATCTGTCTCCTGAGATATTTCTCCTAGCACGCCTCTCCTGCTGTGTTCCCAGTCTGTGGACCTTTTAAGAGTCCTCTCCAAGTTGTTTCAAGCCACCTCTGTCCAACTGGTAGGCCCCACGGGAGGAACAGAACATTCCAACAAATATTTTGAATGCAGTGCTTCAGTTTTCCCACATAGCTGTGATCATTAACATTTCAAAAGCAAATTTTTGATCTTTCAGCAGGTGCAATCATGGAATCATAGCAATGTTGGACTAGAAGGGGCCTCAGTAGGTCATCTAGTCCAGTCCCCTGCACTGAAGCTGGACTAAGTATTATCTAGAACATCCCTGACGAGGTGTCTGGCTAACCTGCCCTTAAAAACTTCCAATCACGTGGATTCCACAACCTCCGTACATAATTAGTTCCAGTGCTTAACAACACTGACAGGAAGCTCTTTCCTAATGTCTAACCTACATCTCTCTTGCTGCAATTTAAGCCCGTTATTTCTTGTCCTGTCCTCAGTGGATAGGGAGAACAATTTATTAACTTTTATGTACTTGAAACATGCCCCGTCTCAGTTTTCTCTTCTCCAGATTAAACAAAGCCATTTTTTTCACTTTTTCCTCATTGGTCATGTTTTCTAGATCTTTAATCATTTTTGTTGCTCTCCTCTGGATTTTCTCCAATTTCTCAACGTCTTCCCCAAAGCGTGGTGCCCAGAACTGGACACAGTACTCCAGTTGAGGCCTGATCAATACTGAATAGAGTGGAAGAATTACTTCTTGTGCCTTGATTACTACACTCCTGCTAAAACAGCCCAGAATGATGTTCGCTTTTTTTGCAACAATGTTACATTGTTGACTCATTTAGTTTGTGATGCACTATAAAACTCAGATGCTTTTCTGCAGTACTCTTTCCTAGGCAGTCATTTCTCACTTTTTATTTGTGCATTTGATTATTCTTTCCTACCTACTTTGCATTTTTCCTTATTGAATTTCATCCAACTTATAGCAGACCAGTTTCTCCAGTTTGTCAAGATAATTTTGAATTCTAATCCTACCTTCCAAAGCATTTGCAACCCCTCCCAGCTTGGTATTATCCACAAACTTTATAAGTGTACTCCCCATGCCATTATCCAAATCATTTTTGAAGATATTGAGTAGAACCAGATCCATGAAGATTCCTGCAGACCCAACTCAATATGTCCTTGCAGTTTGAACCAGTGATAATTACTCTCTGGGTATGGTTTTCCAAGGAGTTGTGCAGCCACCTCATAGTAGGCTCATATAGGCTATATTTCCCTAGTTTGCTTATAATAAGATCATGTTAGACAGTATCAAAAGCCTGACTAAAGTCAAGATATATCACATCTACTCTTTTCTCCCATCCTCCACAAGGTGTGTTACCCTGTCAAAGAAGGCTATTAGGTTGGTTTGACATAATATGCTCTTGACAAATCCATGTTGACTGTTACTTATCTTAATATTTTCTAGGTGCTTACAAATTGATTATTTGCTGCATTATCTATTGCTCCATATTTGTGCCAAAGGTACCAAAGTCGAGCTGACCGGTCTATGATTCTCAGGTTGTCCTTATTTTCCTTTTCATAGATCAGTCCTTTGTAAATATTCTGTTCTTACTTTGCTTTCAATTTCATGGAGTCTATTACAAACCCAATGCAGCCTTATATTGTATATTGCACTAAAGGAGAATGTCTTAATTTCACAGGCCTGCCAGCCCAAATAGCAGGAAGAGGAAAAAGCAATGCAGTGGAATTTTTCTAGCAGGATCCAAGTCAATGCACCAAGTCCAGCCCTATGAAATGTATGAACCTCAGCAAATCCTGTGAAAGATACTAGTGGTGCTTCGCTGCATTTCTTGTACGTCCTGTTGTGCCAGATGTCAAATTTTTGAGAACTCCAACCTGGAATAACTAACAAGGGCTAGATCCTGAGCTGTTGTAAACCGGCATAGATTGCTCCATTGACTGAGGATCTGGAATATCTTTAGCACAATACAGCAGGCATAACTTTAAATTTATACCAGTATAAAATGGAAACCCTAAATCTACTACAGTTTTGCTAAGCTTTGTGTTGTCTTATCTTTATAACTGACCATGGCAACTCTCTCCCTTATGGAGTTTTTATTCCTGAAGGAATGAAGTGGTTGATACTATGACTTTCTCATCCCTAAGAATGTCTTTTTATTTTTCTTTCTCCTTCCTGCTCCTCAGTCTCTTCCCCTTCTCATTAACCCACATTCCCCTCATATTTACTTCCCACACTTTCCCAACAAATCCACTCCCTCTTCTCTCTATCTAGACTCCACCTTTTTTATTTTCTCTCCAAGTTACTCTCCTTTTTCTCCATCATTGTATATGAAGGAAGGGAAGAGTGAAAGGGGATGAAGCAAGGGAGCACCACATTCCCTCTTGTTCTCTGCTTAATGGCACTCAATAGATTCACAGTCTACAGTTTATTCTCCTGAGGGCTGTAATACTTTGGTCTAAGTCTGGATGTTGGATTTAATATGTGGGTGCCGGGTGGTGTTGGTAGTCTGTGATACACAGGAGGTCAGACTAGATGGTTTGGCCTTAAGCTCTTTGACTGTCTCTTTGACTCCTGATGAAAGCCAGAATGCCCAGTGTTAACGTATCTTCTGCAGCCCTCTCCCAAGCGAAGAGTTTGGGAACAATGCCCTGTACCAGCATGATCCCACAATCCCTTCCTCTCCACCCTCACTGAAAGAGTGGAAGTTTTGGCACCGACTCCAGTGGGAGCAGAATCAAGCCATGAGAATTGGATACTGTGAGGGGGATTCAATTCTTGGTGAAGCTGGTGATCAGCATCTCTGAGGGTTAGGCTCTTCGATTGTGAATTTCTGAGGGTCGGGGCTTGTCTTTTAAAAAGGCTTTAAGGCCCCAGAAGTACAATTGCAGCAACCTATAAATAACACTGTGAGACAATATCCATTTGTCACATACCCCACTTGAAATATTCTGGAGGCAATGGTGTGTGGTGGGGAATGTTGTAATATTTGAAGATTTGTGAGTTAGGTAAAACACTAAAAAAAGCAAAGTGACCTCGATGTGACCCACTGGGGTTCCAGCTGAAAAATTCTAACTTCTCTTGTAAACCAGCTGTCACAGTTCAGGGCAACTGCACCTGTATTCCCTCTCCACATTCAGCAAGGGCACCTGCCCTAGGCACTCAGCTCCACAGTGGTCATCTCTCTTGGGTAGAGACCCACATCTCTCCCTCCTGAATGGAGTTTCTCCAGGCTGCATGACTCTCTGCCTACAGTGTGATATCTCCAGCAAGACAGACTGCCTAAACAGCCAGTGTCTGTGCTTTGCTTACTCTTTGAAGGCTGATGAACAGCATCATTGCCCACAGTTAGAAATTAGCACACAGCTCTTTCTAAGTAAGCACATATATTGTTAAGGTGAAACCATTCCACAGAAAACATATTAAAGCAATCAAGAACCTACATATGTGCTAACAGTATTATCAGAGATCATCCCAACTCCAACAAGGGCTTTGGTTAGTGATCAGACCTTCAAACCCCACCAAGGGGTTTTTCTGTGATCCAAGTTCATGACAGCTGTTAGCTCAGAACCAGTCTCCCTGAATCTGAGAGTTCCCTCATGAATTTGAGGGTCCCTCCTTTATACAATTTGGGCCTCTGATCTTGTCCTCGTGTAACAGGTGATCAGCAGACAGGTCCTCTTCTCAGGATGAAGCTTAAAAAGTCTGAGGACACTGTTTCAAATAGTCTTATGAAGCTCTTAACACTTCCCAGGTTTTACATCCTAGAGATGTTACATACAATCCTACAATAATACATCAACATTTGCATTTTTAATACAGTGAACTTCTAAAATACTTAACCATAATTCAACAAGGTTTGTCAAGGATATTTCAGGAAATCGCCATATCTGTCACACCAGCCACTCACAATGGGCTTTGCATCCAACTATTGACCTCGACGCAGAAATAGACTAAAGTCATAAGTAATCTGTGTAGTATGATACACACCAATGGTGATTTAGTATGAGAAAACTGCATGCTGGATTGAATTGCACTTTCAGGCTGATGACAATGCACATGCAGCTTTGGAAAGACAGAGACCCCAATTTAACTCTCACCAATGATACTCCCCTATACAATGATCTCATAGCTCTGCATGTACTGCTTTCTCATTAAGTGTCTCGCCAATATTTCTCAGAGGCAGAAGTGTGTAATAAATGACCTTTTACATATTAAACACCAACATCTGCCTTCATGTAATACTGGGCAGGGAGCAAATTCATTATATCTCTAGACCCTTGTCTGGTTTGAAATGTAGAGTTCACTGTGTAACTTTCAAGGGCTGAATCTCGACCCAGAATGAACCATATTGTAGGCATGTTTGTGATTTCTCTTCTTCTCTGTGTGCTGAATAGGCACAATGCCATTCCTTTTTTTTTTTTTAAACTTGTTTTGTACAGTTCTTAGCACTACAAGGCCTTGGTAAAAACTGAGTCAGGACATCAGGATTTGACCTCATGCTTGTATATACAATAATAAAACTTAGCACTCATATACCATTTGGCAAATGTAATCTGAGCCTTCTCAAACCCTGTGAACTAAGGAAATAATACATAGTATTTGTGGTGTGCCTAGCATTCCTCCAGCACTATAATCAAGAATCATTTACAGATGAGGAAATAGGCACAGAGACATTAAATGACTTGCTCATGGCCACAGAAAAAATCCATTTCACATCTTCGATTAGAAAGTTCTCAGCTGTCAGGGTTGTGCTCAGTCCATTAAACCATAAGAACATAAGAACGGCCATACTGAGTCAGACCAATGGTCCTTCTAGCCTAGTAT